TTGTCGATGTCGGGGTGTTGTTGAATGATAATGTCGGGGCGGACGTCTGATACGTTGTGGTCGTTGTGGTTGCTCAGGAGTATTGTACCCATCCTCCTCATTCATTGGGGGCATTTGAACTGTCATGTGTTCAAAGTCATACGTCGACGAAAACGTAGGAGAATAGATGGGTGCCTCAGGCTGCACAAAATCTGGTATGTATGCCGGGACAGTAGAATCATCAACTGCGTGATGCAACGATCCCGCATCGCCGAATGGTTGTGGTGCGCTATTATCCACATCAGTCATTTTCGCTTCAGGCTGTAGAGATGAACTCCCACTCCCACTCGGTAGAGAGTATTCATCTTTACCAAATCTTTTCTTAAACCTCAAAAATTGTCGCCTCTCTACTATTGTTGTGAGGAACGACTTTCCATTATCCCAAAAATAAGCAAGGTAAGCCGAAGTCTCAAAATTAAAGTCGTCGTCTTGAATGGCGTCAAGAGTTGGCATGAATGAAGCCCTATTGTTCCAAGCATTAATGTATGTTTCATGCTTCTCAACCCAATTAACGCCTTCTTTACGACGACCATCAAATATGTGCAGGTCGTCATGCGTCTCAACCCAATTCACCGGACGACGACCATTTAAGTTTTGGAGGAGGTCATGATCCCATGGACTCCGCGGAATAGGTTGGTGGAAGTGGAATTGCCACAGCACTCTATCCCCAAATTGGATCTCAACAAAAGCAAAATTGATTAATGGTGTAACAGCACACCAATATTGAAACCCATCTAAAATATTGTGCGGTATCAACGCAAATAATTATTCATTCATGTATGGTCTCCAATTAAACTGTAAAATTACAAAAACAATAAAATTAATTTAAATCAAATAATATAGTTAATTTAAATAATAATTAAAAAATACAGATTATACATACCTCCTTTTTGGCCTTAATGTCGATCTTCAGCCTGAACTCTTTAATGTTGTTGTGCACCAACCCGTGCCTTCAATTTTATGTCTCAATCTGTATATCAATCAAAACAAAAATAGAGACATTTTGTTCAATAATTTTAATCAAAATAAATTTTTTCTAATTAATATTTTATATTAAGGATTCATATTACCTTCCGGCAAGTGAAAAGTCAACCGCAGTCCGACTAATCGGTGTCAAAAACAGAAGTCTATGCCAAGACCATGATTGTAGCAGCAACAGACATCCACCGATTTCTGTTGTATTATTATCCAATATCGCCGAACCCCAGCTATATTGCCTACAATTCTCAAAAATTGTTAAAAAAAGAAGATACTGAGTGTGAACATAACTACCAGATTTATCAGGCATCAAAATTCCCCCAATCAACTGTAATATATATGCTCATGTTGCATATATAATTTCGTGCTTCGTACTATTTGGTTGAAGTTGAAATTCATTCTTCAACCATGACAACCTCACCCGCCACCTTCTACACTCTAGTGGTACGGGCGCTTTCCCAAGAAACAAGTTGCAAAGTTGTGCCACATTTTTAAACTCATGTGACATTACCACCGACATCCCATTAGTTTGGACCCCGAGTTGCATTGCCACATCCTCCAAAGTTATTGTGCATTCGCCACATTGCAAATGAAACGTGTGCGTTTCTGGTCTCCAACGTTCAATCAACGCACTGATCAAACCTGGGACCAACTTGTAATCTCGCACAAATGTTACATACCAAAATCCAGCCTCTTGCAAGTTTTCTTCTATCAATGGGTGTGGCTTGGGCACTTTATGTAGCCGAAGACGAAGGACTCGCTGCTCGTCCTCCTACAATTAAATAATTCAAAAAACTTATCACAATCATCGTAAAATAATATTCAAATATTTATTAATTATAATTCATTAAACAAATATTTTATTCACCATTATTCCCAAATGACTTGAAATATGTTCATTGTCAAGTCTCAGCAGTGGAATTTGGTCAGCCATTGGAATGAATCTATAAAAAAAGTAAACAACAGTATTTAAAAAATCATTTAATATAACTAATATAATCTAACTAACTAACTAACTATTTCACAACACAACAAAAAAATTTAATATAATAACTTATAATATATTAAACTAATAAACTAACAAACTAAACTTTTTAAAATATAAGTTAAACGTAAATTTTCCCTTAAACAACTAATAAACTATTCTTTAATATAACTTTAACTATTCTTTAATATAACGTTAACTAATAAACTATTTTTAATATAACTTAAACTAATAAATGATTTTTAATTATAATTTATTACTAAAAAACTAATTAACTATTTTTTTATATAATATAAATTCAACAAACAAATATAACTTAAATATTTAACTAACACAAACTAATTACATATTTTTTTATATATAACTAACGACTAACAAACTAGCTGATTATTTTTATTAATATGTAACTATCAAACATAATAATTAAATAATTTTTTATTTCTATATGATATAACTTAAATTAACAATAATATAACTTAAACTACCAAACTAATTAACTAATTTTTTGTTTTACCCTAATTTATAATAATAAACTAATTAACTAATAATTTATAACAATAAACTAATTTAAATAATTATTCTTTTATATAACTTAAACTAATTAACTAATTTTTTTATATAATATAAATTCAACAACCAAAATATAACCATCAAGCAAACTAATTAATTACAATTTTGTTTTACCTTAAACTAACTAACTAATTAACTAAAATGTTGTAAACCCTTAAACCATAAACTAACAATCTAATAATTTAAAATAAAAAACTAATTTAAATAATTAAAAAGCTTACCTCGATGTTGTGCTCTCTCTTTCTTCTTCTTTCTCTTTTCCCTTGCTCTCTTCTCCCTTTCTTTCTTTTATGTTTCACTCATTAACCCTCATCTAATATATAATACAACCACCCCCGTTTGCTTCAATTATTCACCTTTGCATGGGCCATTCACGTGAGCTGAAGGACTGCAATAATGCAGCAATAAGTGCTGCAATAATGCAGTTGAATTCACGCTGCATGCGAGCAGAGGTTTGCCGAGAGCAGACCACGTGAACAAAGCTCTTGGCGACCTATCCCATGCCCTGTGCATGGCCCATGCATAGCACCAAAGCAGAGCATCAGCCGGGCAGAGCAGCAGAATCACGAGAACGTTGGTCGCCGGGCGTGTATGGCGTCCTTATAGGACGTCGGGCGTGCATGGCGACCTATAAGGACGCCGGGCGTGCATGGCGACCTATGCTGGTTCGTCTGCATGCTGCCACGTCGTAGGTCGCCCGGATGGCATGGCGACCTACGACCATCACTGTAGAATTTACCTCATTTGAGCAATTAATCTAAACACTGCATTATCTCGTGAAATAAAAACTTTGAGAGCATTATTTCGTTGATTTCGCCGTGAAAAAATTGGAGTTAAAAGACGTCGTGTTAAAGTCTTAGAGAATGAGAATAAACGCTAGCTCAAAAAGCTTAAAGGTAAAATAAAAAAGAGAGAAGAATGAGAGGTTGACATGAATAAAATAATCAAGCAGACCAAAGCCTATAGTCGTGAAATCAAAAAATTAAAGAATGAAAAGTCTGAAGGAGGAGAAAAATAAATGATTAGAATCTAAAAATTGGAAGCTGAAATGAACAATGTGTTGGTTTAGTTCGAAGCAAAAGGCTAATGAATTTAGGAACTTGAGGAAGAAAGGGAGTTGAAAAAGGAAGAGGTCTGCAATAAAAGGAAAGGTTGGAACCGTATCCTTGATAGAAAGCAAGCTGAAGTTCAATCTTGGATGCAAAGGTACTCAACCAAAAATTAACGAGTCGAGGAACTTAGCAGGGAAATGAGAGAGATGAAGCTAAGGCACGAGGAAGAAATGAACCATACTCGAACCATGAACCTTGAGATTGAGGATCAGATCTTGTAATTGGAAGAGTGTAAACACCCATTTCTGTTCAGGTCTTAAAAAATATATATATTACTAGTTATATTATTATTATTATTATTATTAACAAATTACATTTTTTGTGTAGGCCAAAATGGAGCCCAACTACAACTGTTTAGACCCATAACCCAGTACAGACCCAACACCAGCTACCAACCCGACCCAGCTAACCCATCAAGCTGACCCGAACCGGCCCAGTAACCCAGGATCTGAACCGGCCCAGATAGAAGATCTGACCCAACCCCCTAGGTTTTTCGAAACCTAACCCTAGGGGTATGATTTGCTGCCGCCGCTGCCCTACTCTATTTCTATCGCCGCCTGCACACAAGCTAGCCATCATCTCAACATCAATCAAAAAAACAAAGAAAGTAGATTATAACAGTAGATTTAGGATTTTATTTTGAAACCTATGTAACATACGGTTATAAAAATTGAACCATGTAATAAGAGATAGGGTTTTTTCTCTCGATTTTTAGAAGCAATAAAAAGAGTTTTTGGAGGTATATATTTTTCATTTATTTCTTTCGAATAAACGAACGCCAATAAAAAAATTACATATCTATCGATTGTTTACAGTGAAAAGAGAAAGAAAAAGAGATAAGAGTGAGGGTAGAAAAAGAGATGAGAGTGAGGGTTTTTACCTGAGGGGGTGTTGGTTCATCTCCACGGTGGCCGGAGTGAGGGAAGACCGAACGTCGAGCGCGTTGTTTGGCGATTTAGGGTGGTTTTTAGATTTTTTTGGTGTTTCTAGCCCTAAGTACAATCCTAGACTAGTGGATTTAAACTCGGTGAGTGTTTTAAGTCACTATAAAATTTTCGGCCACCGTGTTCGGCGACCGGAGGTGGAGAAGGCGGCCGACCATTTGAGAGAGCTCTCGAAAGCTCTCAATTTTTATTTTCTAATTTTAGGGTGTAAAATGAAAAAAAAAACCCAAAGGTAAATACATATAGGAAAAATTAATGGTATAATTGCATTTTAAATGCCTGTATTATTGCCGTATTTTTACATTTTGATCCTTGTAAGGACCAAAATTGCTATTACACCTATATTTGGTGCATGCTTTAATTGTTCCTACACTAAAAAACCTTCATATAACCATCCAAACCAACACTCAAAATCATATCCTCCGTAGATTCATCCCCACAATTTTCCTTCTTAATTATTCCTACACAAATCGATGTAACAGTTTCATTATGACTTTCCATTGAATGAACCATCCTCCCACCCCCAATCAGATCCCATATCTTCACTGAATTCCCACCAGTAGTTGCAATTAACCCACCAGAAGGCAAATAAATCATATCCTCCACTGGTTTCCCATGATTCACTTCCAAAATCGACCTTGAATTCTTGACTCTAACATTCCAAACCTTAACGGTTTGATCATAAGAATCGGTAACAAACAAATCAGAACTCACGGAACTACAATCGCCGCACCGCATGTAATCCTTATAACCCATCAAGTCCAAAACCACGCTTTCCGTAGCAACATCCCAGAATTTAACGACGACATCGTCACCTCCAGAGAGAAAATAGAGCTTATCGAGAACCATATATATAATGAATCAAACTGAACGGGTATGAGACCATATACGACGAAGCGGGGTCCGGATTTTGACATCGTAGACATAGATGAGACCAGAGAGATCGAAAATAACTAAGATGAGGCCATCGGAACAGAAAGAAAGAGAAGAAACGACGTTGAAGAAGGAGGAGATGGTGGAGGAAGGGGAAACATCGCCTTCGTAGAGGGAGACCGGGGAGAAGAGGGAAACGGAGACGGAGTAAGCGGCGGCGAAAGGGTGGGGCGGGGAAGGGGAAAACGAAAGGGAAAAGATGGAGGAGATGAGGTTGGGGATTTGAGTGGATTTTAAAGAAGACCAATATTTGGATTCTGGGTTTGGGGAAGGGCTTTCGGCTTGGGTTTGATTAAAAAGGTTCTTGAGACCATTGATGTTTGTTCTTATGCTTTGATTTCTGCCATTGTCGCTTCGGGAATATTGGCTGCAAAAATGGATTTTTTTTGTCTTTTAGGGTTTAGGATTCTTTGGTTTTAGGGTTTTGGAACTTCGCTGTATCAAAACGACACGTTGAAAAAAATATAAAATAGGTTAAATTAAACGTTTAGAGCTCAAAATATCACTTTTATTTCGTTTGATCACTTAACTATTTTTTGTTTCAATCATACTTCATAACTACATAAAATTTAAGGTATATTACAAGTTTAGTATTTAAACTATTAGTTATGGTTAATTTTAGTATCTAAACTTTCAAAATTTTCAAAATCATACCTAAAAATTAGATTTTGTTTCATTTCAATACACATGTTCAAAATTTAACATTAAGTTTTGAAAAAAAATTGAAAATGTAGGTACTAAAATGGATCAAAACTTATAATTTAGGTAATAAATGTGTCAAGGTTTTAATAGTGAGGTACTAAAATGAAACAAAACTATATATTAAGCATGTTTTAAAAAAAATTAAAAGTTTAAGTACTAAAACAAATCAAAATCAATAGTTTAGATACTAAATATGTAGTTTATTCTAAAATATATTATTCATCTTCTCAGTTCTATCGTGTAAACTATAATAACATAATATGAAATTATTATATAAAATTGATATTTTTAATAAAATCAATACATTTATAACATTCTCTTTTAAGGATATATAATTACTCAAATTCGAGATCTTTAGAGAGAACACTATTTTCTTTTATTATTGAAATAATTTTATGAGTTAACGATTTTATTACTAAATTTAAAATAAAAAAAATACAAGTGTTTGAGAATTATTTTAGGATTTAGGTTATTTCTTACAATACGTGTGAAGCTCTTCGTAAGGAAATGATGAGTTTTATAAAATATAATAAATAATTGAAATTCATCATGAGGACATGGCACATTCCATACAATTTTCTTTCGATCCATATAAAGAGTTATAATTTTAATATATTTTATGAAACTCATTATTTTTCTCCTGACAAGTTTCACGTGCACTATAACAAATAACTTAAATCTCAAATTCTCATTGTCAAATTTTATTGGCCATTTAATTGAGTAGGTTTTTATTATACCGTGTTTTTTATTTTTTAAATAATTTTTTAATTGTTCATTAAAATTTTGACAAACTTCGTATTTAGTATCTAAAATATTAGTTTAGATTTATTTTAGTATTTAAATTTTCATTTTTCTACAATCATACTCAACGTTTAATTTTTATTTCATTTTAGTATTGACGTTAAAAACTTAATGTGTTTAGTACCCAAATTATCAATTTTTGTCTGTTTTAGTACCTAAACTTTCATTTTTTTTTTCAAAACTTCATGTTAAATTTCGAATTGGGTATTAAAATGAAATAAAAACTAAACTTTAGGTATGATTTTAAAAAATTCAAAGTTTAGGTACTAAAGCAGACTAAAACTATAGTTTAGGTACTAAATGCATAATTTACCCTTACGTTTTTATATCCATGTTGGCTATCCGGTGCATCCTATCTGAACCAATAAAAAATAAAACTCTTCTCATAAGGCAGTTTCCCACACGGTTATATAAACTTCTTTCCCAACCCCAATTTTTCTCAATCTCATTGATCATCAATCTGCTTGCAAAAACCTAAAAAATCCCCAATCTCCATTAATAACAATCTAGAGTTTCAAAAACAAACAAGATGACTTCACCAACAGGATCAACCAAGGGTGGCAGAGGCAAGCCCAAGTCCTCCAAAGCCGTCTCCCGGTCTCAGAAAGCCGGCCTCCAGTTCCCTGTAGGTCGTATCGCCCGCTTCCTCAAAGCCGGAAAATACGCCGATCGTGTCGGTGCCGGTGCTCCCGTCTATCTCTCTGCGGTCCTTGAATACCTCGCCGCCGAGGTTCGTCACGTTTTTTGTTTTCCTTTTCGTAATTCATGTTGACAATGTCGGACCGTTAGTGTAAATTTTTTAAGCGATTTTGCAGGTTCTTGAACTCGCCGGCAATGCGGCTAGGGATAACAAGAAGAATCGGATCGTTCCGAGGCATATACAATTGGCTGTTAGGAACGATGAAGAGTTGAGTAAACTTTTGGGGACTGTTACGATTGCTAACGGCGGTGTTTTGCCCAATATTCATCAGAATCTGTTGCCGAAGAAGACGGGTAAAGGGAAGGGGGATATTGGATCGGCTTCACAAGAATTTTAAACCGATTCTTTCTTTTTCCTTATTTTGGAGTGTGAATGTTTCTCCTGCTGTTCTGGAACATTATTCGTAAATTATTATAATATCATAGTTTTCAACTAGTCCTGTATAGCTTATCTTTTGGGCTAGTTTTGATTTTGGTTGAGTAGGTTGTGCAAAATTGAAATTCATATATATATATATATATATAAGTACTTTGCATTTGCTGAAATTTTCTTGCAATTCAACCTGCCAAACAAGATTTAGCATTTCCAGTAGCTGAAATCTCAATGTGTGTATATATATATATATATATATATATTAAACACGATTGAATTAACTTCTTCAACTCTGCCAAAATATGCAATTTCCCCTTACTTATCTCAAACATATCCTTTGTTGTTGGCTAAGTATTGGGTATGTATGTTCATTTTCTATTTTGCTAGTGTACATCCGAGTGAGCTGAGACTCAAGGGAAGAGTGATGAATACTCTGGAAAATGGGTTTGAAAGAGAGAGATCTTTGATGATTCTGTTCTCATTATACGGCCAAGGTCAGCTTGCTTTATTTCTTGACTTATCAGATGTTTAATTTATCCGTTGATGGATTCTGATGATCAGTCTCAGTTTTGAAAATCTCTCTCTTGTAATTGTTGTTTGAGTTGCAGTCCAGACATGTGTAGGGCTTTAGTCTTATTTGAAGAAAAGGAAGAATAGAGAAAATCAGTTTCATAGGCTAGTTAACTTTGTTTCAATTAAATTTCTGTTGTTTGAATATGATTGCACTGCTTTTTGTTTAGCCTCATTGCAAGGAAAGAAAACAAAGGAAGATTGAATTTGTAATGTTTCATAATCTAGTTTTACACATTTCAATCCATGGTTTTGTATCTATAACCAGTTGTAATATATAGTTCACATTTACACTGTAGAATTTAGTTGATTTTGGGGGGAAATTGTGACCTTTTTTATGCTTTGCATCACTTAGATATAAATACACGTTTGATATATTGGTCTGAACACTAACAATGCTGTGAAATTTAGGATATTCTATGTGGACTATGATGATTCTAATGATGTGGATATATATATATATATATATAATATTTTAAGGACTAGTTTCCTAATTGTTTATATATGTTAATTTTTAAACTTTTGCTGAATGTGTCAATTTTTGCATTAAATGTTTATGATGATAACAAGTTTTGAGACAGCTTGTTGGGTCATCTAGGCAAATGAGTTTATTATTTTTAATAGTATGGGGTAATTATAAGGTGTATATGTTTAGAGTCTTTCACACACAGGTGTATAGATGAAGTTGTTCGAACTTGAGTTCTCTAGGGAAAGGAATATTCTCTTTTACCACTGAAACCATTCAATGGGTTATACGTAAACGAGTTGGATTATAAATTATGAGGTTGATAGAATGTTATTTTCGTACGTTATGATTGCCTGTATCATTGCACTAGAAATGTGTCTGCATTGTTCGTCGTTTGAAGATTATTGCCGTGTAACTAGTGCATTAGAATGTTATGATAACCTTGTGTGAGTAATTTCATTATCTCTTGTATCAAGGGGAATTCTCTTGCTAATTCCTAATTGTCCTTCATTGTAAGTCACCCTTTTAGACCGTCTTAAATGTATGTAATTTGTTTCTTCGGAACAGTTCTTTCTTGTATTTGGGATTATCAACGTTTTACTTAAGGCCTATAAATGAACCGTTCGGCAGAAGTTTGTTTATTTATTAAATGAATAAATATGAACAAAATTTTGTGTTTGTTTGATTATATCAACGAATATGAACAAATGACTCGTTCGTTTATTTATGTTCGGTAATCCGTTTGTTTATGTTGTTTATGTTTGTTCGTTAAAATTTAGTCTAATCTCCAGTTTGACATATTAAAACCTAATAAATTCTAACCTTAAATACACTAATATTTTAAAACTAATTAAATTTGGATCCAAATAAAATACTCAAATCAATTAAAGAAAATACAAATCTTGAAATAATTTTTTTAAATATAAATCTAATTAATTTTAGGTTTGTTTATTTGTGTTCGTTTATCATTTTAACGAACGAACATGAATGAACACAAATAAGAAATTTATATGTTTAATTGTTCATTAATTTGATTAAAATTAAATGACTGAATATAAACATAATCTCACTCGCATTTCTTCGATGTGTTTACTGATCTAATTTTACTCTTACTGAATCTTCAACTCATAATAATTAACAATAGTTTCAAATTACCTGTCCGAATCTGATTTAAATGGTTAAGAGATCATGCATGTAACCACTAAGTATTAAGAATATGTGAAAATTTCATTGAAACTAATATTTAGATTTTTTTGATAAGTAAAATCTCGGGTAAATTATACCATTGACTACTTAACTATGTAGTCCTTTTATTTTTACCATCGATTTTCACTTTTTGTCAATCAGACCACTTAACTATTTAATTATATTCAATCAGACCACTTTATAGAAATGTCGACGTGACAGTTAAAGAAATTGGCATAATTCAACATTTAGTCCTTAATATTTATATATTCTATCAATTTGGTCTTGATTTAAATTTAATTTAATAAATTAATCATTCATTCAAGATCACGCCTTTATTGAAAAATTTTATTTATGAATTTTGATTTATTTAATTAAATGATGTTTTTATCCAATTAGTTGGCGACATATGTCACCACCGGATTGAAGTGAAAATAAAGGATTTAATTTTGCGCTA